TGTTAATTTGTTGTTATTATAGTTTTCTTGCTATAATTTTTTTAATTTTTAATTTATCTAACTTCTTAGATAAAGGGTTAACTCAGTAATTTTTAATATATATTTAAGACTACTGATAAATTTCAAATACTGCTTAAGCTGTGTATCACAAATATGGATATTTTAAAATAATTTTAATATTTCAATATTTTGGCTATCACCTATTTCACTTTATAATTTTTTGTGATTTATTCTCCAGTCATTGCATATTTTAATTTTTCAGACCTGTAAAACTTTAGTTACTATATCTAATAATAAGTGTCTATTTAATGGTCTCTCAATCAGATAATATAATGTGCGCATGCTTTAGAAAGTATATTCTCCGGGCCGGCACTGTGGCTCACTTGGTTGATCTTCCTCCTGCAGCGCCCTCATCCCATATGGGCACTGGGATCTAGTCCTGGTTGCTCCTCTTCCAGTCCAGCTCTCTGCTGTGGTCCGGGAAGGCAGTGCTTGGGCCCCTGTACCCGCATGGGAGACCAGGAAAAAGCACCTGCTTCCTGGCTTCAGATCGGCACAGCGCCAGCCATAGTTACCATTTGAGGAATGAACCTACGGAAGGAAGACCTTTCTCTCTGTCTCTCTGTCTCTCTCTCTCTGTCTATAACTCTACCTGTCAAATAAAAAAAAAAGAAAAAGAAAAAGAAAGTATATTCTCTGTTGAGCGTAGTGTTGTGTGTGTGTGTGTGTGTATGTGTATGTTACTCAAATACTTTTCACAACTTCTGGAAATGTATAGTTTCTAAGAGAGGTGTTCATTTCTGCCAGTACAATTATGAGTTTATCAATTCTTTTTAGTAATTCTGAATTTTCTGGGATTTTTTCATGCTTTATAATTTATGTTGTTGAATTTCTACATATTCATAATTGTCATAGCCTTTTCATAGATTGTCCCTTAAATGTTTCACTCATATGGACACATTTAGTTCATATTATTTTTTGACTGCTATCAGTCCATCAACTCTTTCTTTGGTTCATATATGCTTGGTATATCTCTATATTTTTTTGTTTTGTTTTATCTTTTTTTAAAAAATGATTTATTTATTTACTTGAAATTCAGAGTTACAGAGAACAAAGAGAGGGGGTATGGGGTGGGGATAATCTGCTGTCTTCTGGTTCACTCCCCAGTTGGCCACAGTGGCCAGAGCTGGGCCAGGCAAAGTCAGGAGCCAGAAGCTTCTTCAAGGGCTTCTATGTGGGTGCAAGGGCTCAAGCACTTGGACCAGCCTCCGCTGCCCTCCTAAGCACACTACAAGGGAGCTGAATTAGAAGTGAACTAGCTGGTTTTGAACCAGCACCCATAGAGGATGCCAAAGCCACAGGTGGTATCTTTATCCACTATGCCACAGCACCCTTCTGCCTCTAGTTTTAGTTTTAAAACTAATTGTAAAAATATGCTAATAATCGGCCGGCGCCGTGGCTCAATAGGTTAATCCTCCACCTTGCGGCGCCGGCACACCGGGTTCTAGTCCCGGTCAGGGCGCCGGATTCTGTCCCGGTTGCCCCTCTTCCAGGCCAGCTCTCTGCTATGGCCAGGGAGTGCAGTGGAGGATGGCCCAGGTGCTTGGGCCCTGCACCCCATGGGAGACCAGGAAAAGCACCTGGATCCTGGCTCCTGCCATCGGATCAGCACGGTGCGCCGGCTGCAGCGGCGGCCATTGGAGGGTGAACCAACGGCAAAAGGAAGACCTTTCTCTCTCTGTCTCTCTCTCTCACTGTCCACTCTGCCTGTCAAAAAAAAAAAAAAAAATATGCTAATAATCATACATGTTTGTGAGCTATAGATTAACATCTCAATATGTCCATAAAATATATATTGTTCAAATCATGGTAATAACATCCCCCCTTCTTTGTCATTGCCTTGTATTTGGAGGCTTGAAGCATATTTTTCTATTTGTTCATAAAAATATACAGTAGGCCATTGGAAACTACGCTCTCCCACTGTGGTATATAACACTATACACTAATTTTTTTATATAAACTTGATTTTTACCTGTTATACAAACCATTTCTATCCCCACTTATCCCTCTCAATCTCCCACAGTCACAATTCTCTGTACTGGTTGAGCTTTTTGTTAACCTCCACATAAAAACATGAATATGAAGTAGGTGGATTTCTATGTATGACTTAGTTCACTGAACATGATGTTCCCCAGTTCTGTCCATGCTGTTGAAATGACATTGACATTCTTTTTTGTGACTTAACAATATTCTATTGAGTTTTTATACAATATTTTCTTTACCCATTCGTTTGATGATGAACATCTTTTTTGATCACATATCTTAATTATTGTAAATAGTGCTGTGATAAATATGGCTGAGCAGGTATCTTTTTTTAGATAAATGATTTCACATTTAAATAAATAGCAGTGAGATTGCAGGATCATCTATCGGTTTTATTTCTAGTTTTTAAATTAATCTCCACACTTTTCCACAGTGACTGTACTAATTTACATTCCCAATTTCTTGTTCTCAAAGTTCTCACCAGCGTACGTTACTCTGTCTTTTTGAGAATAGCCATTTTAACAGAAATTAAGTGATATCTTTTTGTGATTTTGATTTGCATTTCACCAATGACCAATGATTTTGAGCATTTTTATATAGTTTTTGGATACTTGCATTTCTTTTTTTCAGAGTGCTATTTATTCAATCCTTTTCCCATTTCTTAACCTCATTGGTTGATGAGTTTTTTTTTTTTTTTAATTTCATGTTATATTCTGGATTCTAACACTTTGTTAGATAAGTCACTTGCAAATACTTTCTCTCATTTTTTAAAATCTCTTTCTTCACTCTATTGGCTGTTTCCATTCCTGTTCAGAAGCTGTTGAGTTTAATACAGTCTCATTTGTCTAGTTTTATTTTTTAAATTTTTTTTGAGTTTTATTTTATTTATTCGAAAGGTGGAGTTACATAGAGAGGTAGAGACAAAGAGAGAGAAATCTTGCATCCGCTGGTTCACTCCCAAATGGCTGCAACAACCAGGGCTGGGCCAGGCCTAAACCAGGAGCCAAGAGCTTCTTCAGGTTTCCCATGTGGATACAGGAATCCAAACACTGATGCTTACCCAAGCAACACGGAGCTAGATCGAAAGTGCAGCAACTGGGACTCGAACTGGCACCCATGTGGGATGCCAGTGCTGCAGGCCAGGGCTTTAACCCACTGTACCACAGTGCCAGCCCCTAGTTTTAGTTTTATTGCCTGTATTATGGGGCTTATATTAAAAAAAAAAAAAAAGAAATCATGGAGCATGCTATTGTCTCAAAGTGCTGCCCATATATATTTACTTCTAGCAGTTTCGTATTTTGAAACCTTACATTTAGATTTTTGGTACATGTTGAGTAGATGATTGCTATAGTCAGAGGTCGGGATCTAATCATTCTTCCACATATTTATATCCAATTTTGCCAACACAATTTATCAAAAAGTATATATTTTTAAAGTATAATTTAAATTCTGAATTTTGGTTTTATTGGTTTTTATTTTTTATTCATTTGAAAGGCAGAGTTACAGAGAGGCAGAGGCAGAAGGAGAAAGAGAGCTCTCCATCTGCTTGTTCACTCTCCAAATGGCCACAATGGCTGGAGCTGAGCCCATCCTATGCCACAAGCCAGGAGCTTCTTCCAAGTCTCCCATGCGGGTGAAGGGGCCCAAGTGCTTGGGCCATCTTCTACTGCTTTTCCAGGCCATAGCAGAGAGCTGGATTGGAAGAGGAGCAGCTGAGACTTGAACTGGCGCCCATATGGGATGCTGGCACATTAGGCAGTGGCTTTACCCCCTACACTACAGCATTGACCCCAAAAAGAATATTCTTTCTCTGATGTGTGTTCGTGGAATTTTTGTCCAACATAAATTAGCTGTAAGTATGTGGGTTAATTTCTGGACTCAATACTGTATTCCATTAATCTATCTGTTCATTTCTATGCCAGTACTATATTATTTTAACTTTTCACATTTTTAAAAAATATTTTATTTATCAAACATAAAAATTGTTCCTAATTATGGGGTATCATGTAATGTTTCACTACATGTGTGCATTGTGTAATATCCAATCAGGATAAATGCATTTGCCCCTTCAAGTAATTAAAATTTCTTCATAATTAAAATATTTTTAAAAATCCTTTCTTTTATATTTACAAAAATATATGTGGTAATTTAACATTATTTGTGTTCATCTCACTACATACTAGAACCCCAGAACTTCTTACTTGTGTACAGCTGTAATCTCTACCCAGCAACCAGTCTTAATTATTTACTCCATCCTGACTTCCCTTCCCATCTTCTGGCTTCCAAATTATATTTTTAACTTCTGTGAAATTTTGTTTTATTTTCAGACTTGATCTATGCAATGGATTAAGTTATATTTATCTTCCTGTGTATATTTTATTTCACCCAACATAGTGACCTCCAGCTCCATCCATTTTGCTGCAAATGATAAGACGTCATGTTTTTTTTAAGGCTGAGTAATATTCCATTGTGTGTGTGTGTGTGTGTGTGTGTGTGTGTATCTCACAATTTCTGTTCTGTTCATCTGTTTATGGACTCTTAGGTCATTTCCAGTCCCTGCTTATTGTGAGTAGTGCTGCAATGAACATGGGATTGCAGATGCCTCTTGCCTACAGTCTACACATAGATGTGGATCTTCATGAGACAAACATGACTGTAAGTCAAATCCTCTTTTGCATTGCCATGTCCTCACTCTTGGGGAGATTAAATAATACAAGTTCCCTATGTACCTAAAAGATATTTCTTAGTTTAATCCAAGTCCTCTGTCTCTTATATTTAATATCAAGGGTAAGATCTAAAAATTCAAGGTAACAGTGGAGTTAGCATTGGACAAAATAAATCGACACAGGTAATAGCTTGTGGACATGCTGTAGACCTTTAAATACTGGCCGAGGCCCTGGAATAGAGTGATGTCATCAATACTCTTAGAATGCTGAGGCTGCGTGGTGACTTGGAACATAACAGTCCTGACACTGTACTGAGTACTAGGCAGGACAGTGACTTGGAGACTAGCGAGCTTCTCCTGCAATTTATAGTCTTTGAATTTTCAAATTTAATTTTTTATTACCATCAATTACTACCTGAGAGTAGAGTTATAGGGAGAAGGGTTACCTGATTTGTGTAACTCTTCAAAGAGTTGAACCATGAAGCAGAAAGAGAAAAGAAAACATTTGGAGAGCATAGACTCACCCCAAGCTGCAAAGAAGTCAAGAGGTATGTCTTAAGATATTCTCTGGGCAGAGTATTCAAGAATTGTCCTCTAAAAGGAGGCTGCGTGGATTCCTCAGTATAGTGGGGGAAAAGGAGGTAGAGAGAGGGGCTGTGATGAAGGAAGGAGGGGAGGAAGGAGTAGAGCTGTGTCTATAGGAGGGCTTCCTGAGGAGCCAGCTCACTGAGAGTACAAAAATGTCCGGTGGGCCAGGTGTTAAGTCCAGTGCTGCTTCCACAGTCATTCTGTGTTATCCTGCTGCAGAGATAGTAATATGCTAATCTAGACTATTTCTTTTAAAAAACAAAGATTTTGTTTTCTTTCTGAAAGCATTAGAGACATAAGTGATATCATAAATTTCATTTTTTTTACTAGTACTTTCTCCTTCTAAATAAGATAGTATGAATTCTATAGATTAGGGAAACATGAGGAAAAAACAGTTTGAGCACTTGTAGGAGTCTTGGAAGAAGCTCTCGTCTCCTTGCTTCAGCCTGGCCCAACCCTGGCCGTTGTGACCATCTGGGGAGTGAACCAGTGGATAGAAGATTCTCTCTCTCTCTCTCTCTCTCTCTCTCTCTCTCTCTCACTGTGTTTGTGTGCGTATGTGTGTGTGTGTGTGTGTCTCCCTCTTTCTCTGTAACTCTTTCAAATAAATACATTTTAAAAAAAGATGGTTAGGCAGGGATGAGTATAAAATCATCAAGAATTTACTTACTTTGAGATTAAAAATAGTTTTGCCACGGGTTGTGAATATGTAAATGGGAGCTCCTTTGTTAATGCAAGGAGTAACATAGGATACAAACACACACAACCACATTTAGTCACACTGAACTTTGGAAATGGGATTTGACTGTGTCTTGAAATATAAGAAATTAGACAGTTATGGTTACCATGGAGCTGAACAGTAAACAAGTGACTCAGGAGACAGGACAACTACTCAGTGGGGGAGGGGGCAGATGGGAGCCAACATCAAGATTCCAAAGAGTAACTCATATAACTGAGGGATATCTAGTATTTTCAACAAAGTTTAGGGCTTTGTATTTTCTGATGGTCCCTTGGAGAAAGGCCTGAAGAGGAACGATGTCTTTATTTTAACTTATTAAGATTAAATAGGGAGACCAGGAGAAGTACCTGGCTCCTGCCATTGGATCAGCGCGGTGTGCCGGCCACGGCGGCCATTGGAGGGTGAACCAACAGCAAAAGGAAGATCTTTCTCTCTGTCTCTCTCTCTCACTGTCCACTCTGTCTGTCAAAAAATTAAAACAACAACAACAACAAAAAAAAGATTAAATAAAAGTTGAAAATTTAAAAAGTATTTAGACATTTAATCATAGCAAGGAAAAAATAAAAAAAAAAACATTAGTGCATATTCACAAATGTTATTGAGTGTATTCAATGCGACTTGTAAAGCACATAGGCATACTTACTAAACTGTACACACAACTGTACAATACATAATGTGCATAAATAAGTCAGAGGGAGATAGGAATTAACATTCAATATCATTGTCTATATACTATCCACCAGATCTAATTGTTTGCCTCTGAAAAATACATTACATTCTGGTTCACTAGTTAGAAACTAGGCCGCAGTACCAAACACATGATGAATCTATTTCTTTCCATTAAAGAATTCAGGATTGGGGCTAGCATTGTGGCATAGCAGGTAAACCTACTGTCAGTGATGCTGACATCCCCTGTGGGCACTGGTTCAAGTCCTGGATGCCCCACTTTCAATCCAGCTCTCTGCTAATGTGCCAGGGAAAGCAGTAGATAATGAACCAAGTGCTTGGACCCCTGCACCCACATGGGAAACCTGATAGAACCTCCTGGCTCCTGGCTTTGGATCAGCACAGCTCCAGCCATTGCAGCCATTTGGGGAGTGAACCAGCGGATGGAAGATTCTCTCCTCTCTCTTCCTCTCTCTCTTTCTTTCTCTCTCCCTCTCTTTCTCTCTCTCAACTCTGCGTTTCAAATAAATAAATTAATCTTAAAAAAATTCAAGATTTATGTGGAAGTCAATTAGACAAGTTTCCTCCTTCTAATAATTCATTAGCCACCAAGATTCAATCATGTGTTTTCCAACCTAATGATGTTACTTATTCCTAATGTCTGATGTACTTCATAGTTGGATCAAGTTTTCATGTTCTTAATGCCACAGCTAGACAGATAAATTTCATAAAAAATAGGGCCTTGGGAGTCACTGGAATCACATGCAAACTGTAGCAATGCTGTGCCATAGCAATGCTGTTCCATGGTTTGTTTATATTTTTTTGGCAGTATGAGCAGCATTGGAAGAAATAAATTTCAGAGGAAAAATACCTTAAGTACTGGAACAAGACCAAAGAGACCAGTGGACAGCTGGGTTCTGCTGCAGGAAATAGCAGGAGGGGATTAAGGGGCTCCTAGTTTCATCAGGAGAGTTCAGGAACTGTATCTCAGTATGAGTCAAGATAGGCAATGTTATATTTGTTGGAAGTTATGAAAGCACTAACAGCCCTAAGTATCAGGATCCATGAAGATGGATTTGAGACACAATATACATACAGCTCTTCAATATACAGTATCTGTATATCTTAATAGCTAATATTCTCACACCTCTCCCTGGCAGATCCATCTCTGCTAACCATCATGTCCTTATACTCCTCCACATGTATACAAATTCCATATAATGAATTACATATTTATGAAGCAAAGAGTAATGATTATTATGACCACTGGATTATTCTCGATTAATTATCCCTGTATGTGTCACCTTTGTACAAATAGAAGAGCACAACACATACTCTGTGTCTGACTTCTTTCACTGATAATTAGCTTTGTGAACTTCTTCCACGTTGCATGAGTTCAGTCGATTCCTATTTATTCCATTGAATGATTTTAAATAATTTCTTTATTTGTTATTTTCTAGGAAATTGCATTGTTTTCATTATGGAGATGCACCCAGAGATGATGTTGTAACATTCTGTGGCATATCTTTCCTATAATGACACATTTGTATTTGTTGAAAGCCTGAAAGTGTCTATATTTCTATTTTATTATTTCTAGAACCCATTCTTTCATAATTTAATTTTCTCTTTCTATTTAAAGTTTTAAATTTATTATTTATTTAAGAAGCAGATGGAGAGAGAGAGAGACAGCATTACATCCCTGGGTTCATTAAAAAAAATGTCTGCGATAGGGCCAAAGCCAGAAGCCAGAGAAACTTAACCCAGGTTTCACACATGTATGGCGAGATCCCAATTACTTGAGCCATCACAGCTGCTTCCCAGGATCTCCAATAACATGAAACTGGAGGGTATTGAGCCCAGGCACTCTTACGTGGGCAGGGAAATCCCAACTGCTAGGCTAAACACCAGCCTCCATATATTTGTTTTCCAATGTAAAAACACATTTCTCTCAATTTAGTCTTACATACTTTTCTCTGATTTTTTTTTATCTAACTTAGCTTTTCCCATAGTACTGTCTTGTTCATTCTTTTCCTTACACCTTTTGATCTTCTGTGTCTTTTCATTACTCCCTTAGAGCTCACAAATACACTAATTCCTTTCAGCTCAAAGTGAATATTCCTAGTAGTTATGCCATGCAGTTACACCATATAACTAGAAATAATACATTCTGACAGTCTATAATTGTAGAACCTGCAATGGACACTAAACATTTACAGATACAAGCCACGCATCCCATTCCAATTTTAGTAAACTTCACTCCATTTTCACATTTGAAAATATGAAATTGGTTAGATGTCAAACTTTGACTGAATTTGAAGCCACATGTGGTGAATGTACACACAGAAAGGACACTGCATTCACCACACATCATTCCATTGCAAAGTGTTCATAAGACACCATCCAGATGCACTGGTAAGAGATCCCAATCATCTTAGCAGTTAAATGCTCAGAGTTAAAGTGAGTTAATATTTAACATAAAATTAACGTCATAAAATCATGAATATTTATTTTCTATATAAATTCAAACTTATCAGCTGTTTCATTTTAGATTGTGAGTTTCTAGGTGTGAAATGAAGAGGGTAAGAGTGTGGGAAAGTTCTCAAAGGCAAACCGAGGTAAAAATCTTAGCCACGGTCAGTGAGTATGAGGATCCTCAAAGGCAGGGTCCAGGTAGAAATACAGAGAACTGAAATATACCAGCTTCCTGCCCACAGAAAAGAGAATGTTCAGTACAAAATGGCTTCCATGGTGGGGGAGGGGTGTTATGGGCTCAGAAGAAGAGGGGCAGTGAGGGAACAGAATGGAAGCAACAACTTCCACTGAGTGCTCTTGTCTCCTTGGGGAACTCCACAGTTTCCTCAACAATGTCTGTTCTACCATGTGTGGACTTGGGCCCTGGAAGAAAAGGATTTGGAGTGTCTGAGCATCAGGGTTCCATGTGAGGAGCTTTTCAGAAGAAAATTTTGGCAAAATAAGGATAGTTTGATCCTAGTAAATTCTGACACCATCAGGAATGCAGTATTAGTGGATGACATGCAGTCCAAACCAAGGGCATAAAATGTAATCCAAATGTCAACATCCACGGATAAGACAAATGGACTGTATCTGTTCTCAGTACTCATAACATGGTATTCACAATATATGTGAGTTGGAGAAATGAATGAATCAAAATCAGCTGTTTATCAATGATCTTTGTTCCATTTTCTCTCAATCACAGACGTACAGAAGTCTGATCCACAACCTGAGAACTCTTTGGAAGAGAAGACCCTGGTCAATGTGGCAAAAGATCTATCTTGTGAATTAGAAGGGTACACCCACCGCTCCAGTTTGTGCATGCCCTCTCATGTTGGTAAGGAGGCAGGACAAACAAGGATAGGCAAATCAGGGTTATGGGAGGGTGACCAACCTGTGGCCACCAAGCTGACCAATAGCATTCATGGAAACTATGTGAATTAACAGTATAACTAGTACTCAAACAGTATTTTATACTTTGTGTTTCTTTGTGGGTGCAAACTGTTGAAATATTTACTTAGTATATACTAAATTGACCTTCTGTATATAAAGATAATTGAAAATGAATCTCAATGTGAATGGGATAGGAGAGGGAGTGGAAGATGGGATGGTTGCAGGTAGGAGGGAATTATGGGGTGAAAAAGCCACTATAATCCAAAAGTTGTACTTTGGAAATTTATATTTATTAAAAAAGAAGTTAAAAAAAGAGTTGGAATAGGAAAGGGAGAAGGAAAAAGGGTAAGAGTATGGGCAGGAGGGAGAGTAGAGTGGGAAGTATCACTATGTTCCTAAATCTGTATACATGAAATGCATGACATTTGTATACATTAAATACATTTTTTAACAAAGAAAAAAAATGAAGGTATTGGCTGGCTGATTTCTTTGGAGGTACTGGTGCGTAATGTTCCTTACCTCCAATGGTTTCTTGTAGTCCTTAGTTTTCTGCTCCTTTATCTATTAATACCAACCTCTTGCTTCCACTGTGTCATCTCTTCTGCCTGTGACCTTGCCTCTCTCTTACGAATATCTTTTGGATTTCATTTGGGATTCATATGTGTACTATAGGATAATAAGCACCACAAAATGCATAATTTGTAGCATCACCAAAGTCCCCCATGGCCATATGAAGTGCAGCATTCATAGGCTCTAAGGATTAAGATATTGACAACTTGGATGGGGAGCATTATTCAGCCTTCTACAGCTATCATGAAATATGTTAAACATAGTTACGTATGCATAGCCAGATAAACAATTAATAAAATCTTTTAAATTGATTATATTGTATATGACAGCATAAGTTTAAGACACACACACTATAAGCAGCTCCATGAAGACAATATATACACATGTTTCCACCCGCCTTCAGCACCTGGACAAAACTAAAGATTATAAATACTCATATATTGGAGTTTTGTCCAGGACATAGAATACAGTCTTCCATAAGTGACTGGCACACAGTAAGTGATCCAGGCTCACTGTAAAGATTAAAGAAAGACTATCATTCAATTTTACTGTAATTGAACAGTAATTTTGAAGAAGAAAACAGATGATACACCACTTTATACCATTTCCCAGAATGAAGATAAAACCACCTTTATCTCAGAAGACATCTCCTAGGAAAACAAACAAAAAAACTTCAAAATTGCAAATGTCTAAGCTAGATATGAGGGTCTGGAGTGGGAAAACGGGTGTAATCATGGCTGTGAAGGCTCCGTCAGTAGCTGATAGGAGAGGAAGCAGTTACAGCCCATGCTCAGATCATAGCAAGAGTGCAAGGTCTTCTATTTCTGTGAAATATTCTTGGTATCTCATATATAAATCAAAGCCTTGAGAGTCAAGGATAATCTAAAAAAGCACAAGTGTCCAAAACTGCAAGGGCTTCTGAACACGGTCGTGCAGAAATTAGATAACTAATAAAATGCCAGGCTTGTCAGGAACAAGGGGAGACTCATTCAAACTAAAACTGAGACATTTAATTTTGTGGGTTACAATTGTTGGCAGCTCTCTGCCAGTTGGGAAGGTATGCAGTAGGGCATCTAAGAAGGTTTTGCTTTTGCCCCAGAGAAGTGAGCAAGAACTGAGATTTGAAAGGGATCGCCACACTGCTACCTCGAACAATCTGCTACCCTTGTAAACACCCATATGATTTTTTAGCCTGTCTTACCCAGCGAGTCTCAGCACCATGTGCTCTTAGCTTATCCCTGGCAACTCTCATTCAGTCATTCTTTATTCTCTCCTCTTAGTTCCTTGTGTGCCTAGACACACTCCTCAACTCACACTTCACATCTTCACACCCTCACTTCACAACACATGCATTCTTCAGATTGGCTGCCTCTATTATTCTTTCAATATCACAATCTCTAGCATCACAAATAATTTCATTCTTGTAGAACTGTGTGTTTGACACTGACAATGGATGAAGTTATCCCATCATGGTTTGCCTTCTAAAACTCCTCTCAGTTTCTAATTCTTTACTCCATTCATGTGATTCTGTAACCTAGGAGCCCATGTAATCTTTCTCCTATTCATCTTTCACATCGCCAGTTTTCACTGCAAATCTCAAAAAAATTACTCAGATCCACACAATTTCTCATATCAGCAAATACCTATTATACAACTACTAGCATTTAAGTAGCACAGGACATACAAAATACAGAAGACATTACAAAATACATGGGAGATGAACTACCTATGAATGTACAAAATTGTGCTTCAATGTCACTCAAATACATGACAGTCACTACTTTTCACATACAATTGTGGCTTCACTTCTGCCATCACTACATAAAATTGTAAAAAAAAAAAAAAAGGCGGGGGGCAAGCATTGTGACAGCCGGTAAAGCTTCTGCTTGCAGCGCCAGCATCCCATATGTGCACCAGTTCGAGTCTTTGCTGCTCCACATCTAATCCAGCTCCCTGCTAATGTGCCTGGGAAGGCAAAGGATAATAATAGCCCAAGTGCTTGAGACCTTGCACCCATGTGAGAGAGCCAGAAGAAGCTCCTTGCTCCTGGCTTTGGATCAGCTCAGCTACAGCTGTTGCAGTCATTTGGGGAGTGAACCTGTGGATGGAAGATTCTCCTCTCTCTCTCTCTCTCTCTCTGTAACTTTACCTTTCAAATAAATAAATATTTTAAAAAATAATAGATACATACAACTGTACATACACCTGGCTATATTTACCAATGGTGATATACTAACTGTAAAAAATGTACCACATGCATTTAATTTTGCTGTGTCTATGGGGAAATGGCATATTAGACACCCTGCAGTCACCTAAGAGAAAAAATGAATGAATCTGAGGAAGCAAAAGTTTGGTTACACATCTAATTAAGATTTTTAAGCAGAAGCAGGAACTTAATATGCTTATTTTCTCAGGAATTAGAATTTTTACTGAAGTGTATTGAATTCAAAGATATAACTGTTTCCACTGATAACATAGATATAGATTAACAGACATTTTTATAAAGTTTTATTTATTTAATTATTTGACAGGTAGAGCTATAGACAGTGAGAGAGAAAGAGACAGTGAGAAAGGTCTTCCTTCCGTTGGTTCACTCCCCAAATGGCCGCTACAGCCAGTACTGTGCCGATCCAAAGCCAGGAGCCAGGTGCTTCTTCCTGGTCTCCTATGCAGGTACAGGAGCCCAAGCACTTGGGCCATCCTCCGCTGCTGTCCCGGGCCACAGCAGAGAGCTGGACTGGAAGAGAAGCAGCCGGGATTAGAACCAGGCACCCATATGGGATGCTGGCACCGCAGACGTAGGATTAACCAAGTGAGCCACGGCGCCGGCCCCAACAGACATTTTTAAAAAGATTTTAATAATATATTTAAATCCATGGTGGAGGCAAAGTTTATTTAAATATTTAGAAATTATGGAGAAAAATCTACTCAAAACATACTTGTAAATTGTGACAGTTCCAGGTTCTGGCCAGGCCAGAACCTGCTAACCAAGCTTATAACCTATTGGTTCTCAAAAACCGTGGGTCCTGCAGAGCTCTGGCAACAGATGCCCTAAAACCCAAAAGGATAGAAATGTACAAAGTACACTTTCCTATCTATTTTCAAAGAGGCACCTAAAAGAAATGAACAGCAAGGTTGAAAATCCAACAAATATAGGAAATCACACTTCCAGAACGGAAGACTATGGCAAATATGTGAGGTCTTTCTCAGTTCCTTGAGAATCTTCAAATTCTTAAAAATCTTTTCATCTATCCTTTTAAAAATGATGTATTATTTATTATAAAGGTAGATTTAGAGAGGGAGAGACAGAAAGAAAGGAATCTTCCATCTCTTTGTTCACTTTCCAAATGGCTGCAATTGCCAGGCCAAAGCCAGGGGCCTGGAACTCCATCAAGTTTTCCCACATGGGTGGCAGGGACATAAGTACTTTGATCACTTTCCACCGCTTTCCCGGGCATATTAGCAGGGAGTGAGATTCTAAGAAGAGCATCCAGGACTGAAACTTGTGCTCATATGAGATGCTGGCTTCACAGATGGCACCTTAACCTACTGTGCCACAGAGCAGGCCTGCATCTATCTATTCTAACTTTATAACTGTCTCTATTGCTCTCTCTTTGTATATAATATATGCAATATATAATATACAGCTACTCTTATCTCTGTCCATCTAAATACACACATATGACTATAAAATTACGTCAGTAATATTCCACAACGTCTTAGTATTGTTTTTATTTATTATTTTTATTAATATAAAGAGAACAGATTTTATGTATTTCATAGATACAGTTTTAAGAAGATAACCGTACTTCCCTCCCCACCTCCTTCCCTCAATTCCTCTCCTTCATTCCTTCCTGTTATTTTTCTTTAATTTTTGCAAAAGCATACTTTCAGTCCACTCTATAATCACAAGCTTATTTCACCAATAACCATAATATTCAAAAGTAAAAGGTAGGAAGACCACAGTTTCACAGGAGTCTAAACAAGGGCTAAAGCAATCATATCCCAAGATGTTCATTTCATTCTTACACATTTTTTTATTCTATATTAATTACCACACACCAGAGAAAATACGTGATATATGACTACTCCTAAAGAAAATGGAGTTAAAATAATGTTTTTTTCTTTTTAAATTCCCTCCCAAGAATTTCAGACTCCTCCTAGACACACCTGGGCCATGTGCAGGGGTCACAGTCTGTAGTCAGACAGCAAAAGAGAGTTCTTCCTCTCAGAATGTGTCTCCTCTCCAAGCAAGCACACACTTACTAAAGCAGATGGTAAGGCAGATGCAACGGGAATGCATGAACTTGGACAAGAGGTGCAACAGAGCTACCCAGCCCAATCCTGACTGACTTCACTTTCCCTCAGAAACAAGTACTTCAGTGAGAGGGACTAAGACTGAGGCTTTGGAAGAGTGGCAAGTAGGGGCTGTACAACCAAGAACAAGACACACTGCCCCAGTACGGAGTAACCACGTGTGAACCCTGGGACAGCTGTGGGTGAGGCCATGAGCACTACTGATGTGTACAACAGTGTGATCAGAACCTTCCCAGCAGACTGAAACCAACTCATCAAACACACACACACAAACACGCGCATGTGTTCTACTGTTTCTTACCAATAATGGCTCCACTTCTCCTTCTGTTAACTAACTCTCAAATTAAATAGGAGTAACGATAATAAAAGCTGCACTCCATAGGTTTCCTATGGGTGATTTCTCCTGAAGAAAAAAATAAGCTAATAATGATATATACTTTTATTAACTATTTCTTTTATTTTAGGCATGGTTCTTAATTTTCAGGATTCTGTATACATATCAAACAATATCACATCCAAGATACCCAATCCTACTAACGTCCCTCATATACACAATTTTAACAATTGCTCTTTATTTATATGCTGCAATTTGGATGATGTAAGCAAGTCCCATGGGTGCTAACAGTGCCTGAAACAAAATATCCACTTGATGTGTTTTTTTTAGAAAGGACACAGAACCTGGATGAGGCCATAACTCAATGTTGCTTTCTTGTCATCTCCTTCCCAGAATTCCAGACATTTCAAGAGGATGTGCCTGAGCCATGTGAGGTTGTCGAGATCCAAGCCTTTAGTCAGGCATCAGGAGAGAGTGTCTCCGTCCCAGATTATGTCTCCTCTCCAAGTGAGCACACCATCGCTAATAAAGACGGTAAGGCAGATGCAAAGGTAGTGTCTAAGCTTAGACAGAAGGTGCAGCTAAGCTGTGAAGCCCAACTCTTACTTCACACTCCTTTCTATAGCACAAAAGTGCTTTAGGGAAAGAGGCAGTTAGACTGAGGTTTGGGGGAAGGGTCACATAGGAATGTGTCCCCAAGAACAGGACACAGCCCCCCAGCACAGCATTGTCATATGATAGTATTGGGACAGTGTGGGTGAGATGATAGGCTGTGCTGACCTGTGGATGGAAACTTGACCAGAATTTTCCCATGCAGATTAGCACAAACTCATTTTCACAGACACCTGTATGTCCTATCCCTATGGGCCAAGAATGGCTCTCTTTCTCCTTCCTTTAAATGATTCTCTTAAATACACCTCTCTTCACTCCCCATGTCTCTTTCCCACTCTGCAGTGGCGTTATATAGGTGTGCCTTATAGCATCATCTCTGTGCAGTCTTTAAGGCCAACCCTTTTGCTAGCTAATCCCATGAACATCTTGCCCTCCCTCACACAGATCACCTACTTTAACTCCCTATCACTGTACCAAACTCCAGAGAACTCCTGTGTTCTCTAGAAAATTTGATTTCATAAGCAGCCTTTCTCACTCTATGTCACTGAATTCACAATACCTTTAATATTTCAAAGAATCACATGATTTGAGAGTTCACATGTACTTCCTGTGCACTTTATGTCTACTGTCTCATGCATGAACAAAGAACATGAACCATGTCTGTACCCACTCACATGTACAACACACCACAGAACACGTACACACATGTAGGTACACTCACACACACAATCAGTCCCTTGTACTAACACCAGATAGACCAGATATACACTAGAGTACACATGCATTTCCATCCACCAGATCCACCATGCACTCACCGTCACATGCAGAGTATACCAAATACACATTCCACATAGTACCTATCACTTAAAGAATTCTGAAGCATCATAGCTGCATGCATTTCTCACACACACTCCACGGGCAGGGATATTCTCAGCACTGCCACAAACCCTGTAGTCTTTATGCAAACTTATTCACATTTTCTAATGCTTGAAATTTTCTTTCCTAGCAATGCATCAGTCTCAGCAGGAAGATCTCTGTGTTCGCTCTTTTGAGATGCCTTTACCTCAGGATGTGGAACAGGAGACTTCTACCACCTGTCATGATATCTGTTTTCATGTCCATTTAGCCAATGAGCCCTGTACACTTGCAGCACATAAGCGAAAGGAACGGCCCATGAAAATATACTACATGCACGTGCAAAGGAAAAGAGAGGCTGATATAGTTTGGGACACACAGGAAGGATTGGTGCCTCCCAAGAAGAGGGCAAGAATCCAAGAACTGACCTTTATTGGGAAAATCCCTTCAGAAGCTAACTACTCTTCTGAGTCTACACGGGAGAGCTTGACCAACAGTGAGTGCAGCTTTGACACAGAAGCCCAAGAAGAGGATTTGGAGGCTGATAGCCCAGCAGAGCCCCCAGAGCTGGAGGAGAGGCCCAGGGTGAAGACACCTGAGTGGCTGGCATCCCCAGAAAGCGGCTTTAAATGCATGGCTTGCTGCCGCGTATTCCCCAGCCTAGACATCCTTCAGGAACACGTGAAGAATGGGGTCAAAGAAGGCTTTAGCTGCCGCATTTTTCATCTGGCCTTTGCCTGGATGAAGTCCAAAGGATCATAAAAGACAAAGAGAAGCAGAAAGAAGACAATCATGCAGAGTACACCTGGATACAGTAAGCAGCAATATTTTTACATGAGGAAAACATCAAGCAAACAAGCATAGCTTTTTCAGCCCTTGAAAAAGAAAACAAGCAGCAGTCCACTGAACTGATACAGCTGCGTTCTCTCCAAGCAGCTGGAGGACCCACCTTTGAATGCACACACTTACTACCTAGTGATCAAGGAACCCTTTTAGATGGTAACTGCTGATCTCCACAGAAAGAAGGAGAAGGCAGACCTTACCCATCAGACCATCCATATGTCTTCACAGTAGCAGAGAGCAATTCCATGTCATTACCACTCCAGTTGAGAGGAAAATCACTCCCTGGAAGTAGAAACTGCTGTGGGCAGAACTTAAAACAGGTGAGATTCCATAGTTAGGACAGCATCTCAAAGGACCTGTGAGTCAGGGTTCTGAGGATAGTGGGATCAGTAGACGGGAACCTCATGAAAGATGCCTCCCAGGGCACTCTGTCTCTGTGGTAAAGCTGTTCCTGCATGGGTGACTACACAAGGTCAGTGTCCTATCCCTGCCTGTGAGTGAATAGAAGCAAAGACTATTCTAGTAGCTCAACGGAACAGAGCAGTCTGGTCTCCCCATTCTTAGACAAAGCAAGCAGCAGAAGAGTCACATCCCCATAACTGTGATCTTTGGCTCCTTTCTGAGAGGAGCAAGGCACGGCAGAGAGAGTTCTGTGACTTAAGGAAATGTATATGTGCACACCTATTGTGGGCCAGCCTTTTTCCCTAAAGGTAAGATCTTAAGCTCTGTTTTGTGGTTTTCAAGCATGGGAGGAGACAAATAAGAAACTTCAACCACTCCAAGACCCACCATGAGTAGGATCTATTTTTTCCCCCTTGGAGAAATTTTCCATGGTGTAAGCTAAGAATGATGAGTGATGCTCTTTCCTGAGTATAACCCAGGGTCAGAAGCAGAGAGGATCTCCTTTGCCAGGCATCCTCGTTGGATTTGTGTTTTGTATCCTGGGAGACACATGTATCTGTTTATGAGTCTTCACAATTTTTATATGTTCTTTTTTGTAATAAATTCTAGTTTTTTTTTTAAGAAAAAAAAAACAGAGAGGAGTAAAACATAGACAAAATTGCAAGGACTTTGCAAAATCAGGCTTATACTACAACAAATGAGAATATGTTTTTGCTAGTTGGTGGTCAGATGAAGGGTTTATGTTCCATACTCTGAAAGTCATTGATAGAACAGGACCTAGAAATAATCTTGAAGTTTCTATTCATATTGGGAATTCTGAGAGTGGCTAACTCTTTGTCACTACAGTAACAAGCTACCTCCCTCAACAGGACTGATTATCTTCTGTTTTGATTTTCTTATAGGCTCACTGGCCTCGAATGAAGGTGACCAGCACACTATGGCATCCTAACTTCATGACGACAATCTTCACAACCTCAGAGAATCAAGCCTGGGCTGGTCTACAGATAGATACAGCAGATCCTCTGCCACTGCTCCCAAATCATTGGTAAAAATGTGGTGCCAGTTGTGAAGACAATATCCAGCGATGAGGAGCCTAGTAATCCTGGAAACACCTCCTCCACCTCCTCCTGGGGAGGTCTCTTCCTGTCAACCCCCCTCTGGAGGCCAGGGGATGTTGAAAACACCACTCGATTGCCTTGTGGAGGAGAGAACACTGTAGGTAGAGAGACATTTTAAGATTCTGGGAAGCAAAGAGTCCATGTAGAGCAGATGACTGATAACAACTTGGAAGATGTTTAGGAAGGGGTTTGCCCAGTTGAAAAGGAACTTGGGATATCCATGTTTCCCTTTCCATGAGTCCTCTGCCTTCTCAAGGTTGTTTCTTTACTTTCTTGGACACTTCAACACCTGGCTCATAATCTCATGCCCTTCCATCTACTTAACGTTTATCACTTCCCTTTCTCCCCTCACCCAAATATAGCATCTAGGAATATGTGCTTGATGCAGAAAGTAAAACAATACAGAATCTATATGGTGCAAATTATAATATCCTTTCTCTCTTTCACTGACCCCCACTTGTTCCCCCAGTGTTCTTTAACAACCATTTGATATATATTTCTGCATCATTTTCTAAAAATGAGCACCAATCTTTTCCCCCACTCTCCCTAATATTGTCATTACCTGCATAGTATCTGATGGGAGGACACACTTGTTATTGGAGGAAGGAAATCAGGTACTTCCTAGATGAACCCAAAAGCATCAAAAAGCTACTCCTTGGTTCCTCTGAGCTATACACATGAAGGTGAACAAATGCTTCTTCTACAGTCATAATGGGAAGGATGGAACATGTCATAAATCATCTGAGACAACCAAATCTATGTGTATGCAGGTGGCCCCGAAACCATACTGCCATTTGAGACTAAACAGCGTAGGGGTGCAAAAGCTAAAATATTTTGGAAAATCTACTTTGCATATTTAGTTATCTGCATGTCATTTATACTTATTCAGTGTTGTGCACTCCCAAAGATTTTGTTTTGTTTGCCATTCTTTGCCTGTACACAGATATATGGTAGAACAGGAATTAGAATAGTTGAGCTGTCAACTATTTATGTTGTAGCTTTCACCCTTCCCAAATTAATAAAGCTTAAAAATGCATTATGACATTAGGGGCATCTGCATGTGTATATGCATATTTGGTTATGTTGAAATGATTAATCATATGTTCCATCCATTCTCATGAAGAATGTGTGAACCTGTATATGTATAAACTCATAGTAGACAAAAGGTGGACTGTAGTTGCTTTTGCTTTCACCTTCCTAGTGCATTTTCCTTCTTCTTTAATAAAAATCCCTCCCTTCTCTCTCTGTACATGGGCAACTGAGTCATTGAAACATTTGAGGTCCGTGCTTCTCCACTCGGCTTCTCTGACCTATAGGTAAATACCCATGTGTGTTAGACCAATGTCAATTGATATTTGGAAAATTAAAAAGAGATTGAGGCTGTGGGGGTTTGCCTTGAATTATGTTTAGTCAGCAACTCTGAGGTCCATGATTATCTTTTGCTGCACTTGGTTCAATCCCTCTTTTTCATATTCCTGGCTGTTTTAACTGTTGCTTCAGTTTACTGAGTATCCTCCTAAACATCTGTCTGTATTGTACCAACCTGTACCACATCTTGAAAACTAAGAAGAGACAGAGATTGTAGGGGTTGAATTGGAATCCAAGATTCTCTGCCTCTGTACTTTCTCCAGTTTTTCTTTTTTGTAAAATGTTTCATTATTTTAACTGTTATTTCAATTTACTTAACTTTCAATAAATTTTTGTTTTGTTTCCATTATCCTGAGTCATTGTTGTTTGTGACCTAATGTACCTTAATTGATGCAAATTGGCTTAATAGTAATTTCTTAATTACTTTAATAGTAATTCTTCCATTTTAATACTTGAAATGCTATAGTCTAGGCCGGCGCCGCGGCTCATTAGGCTAATCCTCCCCCTTGCGGCTCCGGCACACCGGGTTCTAGTACCAGTCGGGGCGCCGGATTCTGTCCCGGTTGCCCCTCTTCCAGGCCAGTTCTCTGCTGTGGCCTGGGAGTGCAGTGGAGGATGGCCCAAGTCGTTGGGCCCTGCACCCCATGGGAGACCAGGAGAAGCACCTGGCTCCTGCCATTGGATCAGCGCGGTGCGCCGGCTGCGGCGGCCATTGGAGGATGAACCAACGGCAAAGGAAGACCTTTCTCTCTGTCTCTCTCTCTCACTGTCCACTCTGCCTGTCAAAAAAATAAATAAATAAATAAAAAGAAATGCTATAGTCTAGAGAAGATTAGCAAATTAAAATCCTTAAATTTTATTTTGAATCAGCAAAAGATTTTCTTAAACTTGATATATACAGTATGCCCTTGATTGATTAGGGAGATAGATTGATAGTATAATTTTAAACATAGTACTTAGATATTACAGTGATTAAATGCCTATGATAGTATTTATGAGGGTACTTACACAGGTAAAAGCACACAACACAGTTCCTGATGTACAGTTATTCAATATATTTTTATTTATTTTTAACCCTATTTCATATGTTATACCTTTCACTTAATTATCTCTTCATTACAGGCGAGGATATTAGCATTTGTAATAGTGAAAAGATTTATATCCAAAATGTAGTGTGGTCTAGACTCTGTCACATCCTTGACATTCACCATATCACTTTTACATCAATGTGATAAGTACAGCACAGCCAGACATATTTTAAATCCAAATTGGGATCCTCTGAATAGTAATAATAATTGTACTTATTTATTGGCTACTGTGTGATATTTCAATGCCTGTATACAATGTGCACTGATCAAATAAGAGTAATCAATATTTCCACCTTTGACATTAGTTTATTATGGGGAGCTCAAGCATCTTTCTTGTATTTGTTTGCAAAATTCATACTAGGTTATTGTGAACTGAAGTTTCCCCACTATGCTATGTAACATAATGAACTTATTATTGGATCTGATACTAATTTGATATTCATAATCAAAAATTCCTCTATGTCCCCATCCCTCCCAACCTCTAGTAATCACATTCTATATACATATTAAGGGTTCTTTTTAATGAGCTTCCACAACTGAGAAATAAGATGTAGTATTAATCTATTAGTCTTTTTGTGTCTGGCTTATTTCACTTAACATGATGTCTTCCAGTTCCACATGTTGCTGCACACGAACGGATTTCATTCTTTTTCATTAATGAGAGCATCTGATTGTGCATTTTGACCATGTTTTCTTTAAACATACATCTTATTTTTTAACCAAACATTTATTTGAAAGGCAGAGCATTAAAGAGGAGGGGGAAGGAGGGAGAGTGGGAGGAGAGAGATTTTTCAACTGCTGATTCACTCCACAAATGACTGCAAAATCGAGGGATGGGCAGGCTGAAGCCAAGGGCAAGAAACTCCATCCAAGTCTCCTACATGGGTGGCTGACCAGGCACTTGGTCCATCAATTGCTGCCTTCCCCAGGCACATTATCAGGAAATTGGATGGGAAGTGGAGGAGCCAGATCCTAAAACAGCATTTTAATATAGGATGATGGCAGTAAAAAGTAGCAGTTCTTTTTATTTATTTATTTATTTTTTTGAGATTTACTTATTTGAAGAGCAGAGTCACAGATTGAGGGGGCAACACACACACACACACACACCAGAGTTTCCGAGTTTCTGTCCTCTGGCTTACTCCCCAGATAGCTGCAATGGCCTGGGTTGGGACAGGGCGAGGCCAGGAGGCAGGAGCTTTCTCTGCATCTCCCACCTGGTTGAAGGAGCCAAAGCACTTGGGTTACCCTCTGCTACCTTCCCACGTACACCAACAGGGAGCTGGATTTGAAGTGAAGCAGCAAGAAGAACTGGCACACATATGGGATGCTGGCATTGCAGATTGTGGCTTAGCCTGCCATGCCACCTTGCTGGCCCCAAGTGGTGGTTTAATATCAACACTACACTACAACACTACAACACCTACCCCTGCATTCATCTATGGATACACCAGTTGATTTGTATCTTGGCTAAAGTGAATAGTGTTGAGATAAGCATAATGGAACAGGTATCTATATGATGCAATGATTTCATGTATATTGATCTCCAGTAGGAGAGAAAATATTTCGTACATATTATGAGATTAATTACAGAGGATGTGATTGTTTTTCTCTAAAATAATAAAGGTGTCCAGTGTGAGTTCACTACAGAAACATGTCACAGACACCACATACATCTCTGTGTTCCCCATACAGTCAAAACACCACTGAGTCTCTTCATCATAAGAGCCAAGTTTTGGTGCTGCTTAACCTTCATTTACTGGACTTGCTTTTTCATCCCTAAATTTCCCTCCTAAAACTGGAGACTTTCAGATGATCTATCAAAGAGGTCAGAGCACAGTGTCAAAATAGAGTCTATATTGCTCTCAAAACTGGAAGATGCATACCAAGTATTGGGCATGTTTCTTTTGTTTAAAAGATTTATTGATTTATTGGAAATTTGGAATTACAGGCATAGAGACACACACACGCAGAAAGAGAGAGAGAGAGAGAGAGAGAGCGAAGGAGAGAGAGAAAGAGAGAGATATCCTCCATCCTCTGGTACACTCTCCAAGTGCCTGCACTGGCTAAGGCTGGGCCAGGCCAAAACCAGGGGCCAGAAGATTCTTCTGGGTCTCCCACATAGGTGCAGGGAACCAAAAATTTGGATCATCTTATCCTGCTTACCCAGGAGCATTGTCATGGAGCTAGATCGTAAGTGGAGCAACCGAAGGTTCAAGCGGTGCCCATATTGGATGTCAGCACTACAGACGGCGGCTTAACCCACTATTCCACAGTGCTGGCCCTGGGCATTTTTCTTACTATGGAGGCGAAGCAATGTTCTAGACTTTGCAGGTGATATCCTAACATGCCCCAGATTATTGGATCCACAGAAAGTTTACTGACATGGCAGATATCTCTCTGAGGTGAATCTAATTGCTTTTAATTTTTTAAGGAATTCATCAATACATTAGATTCTCAGGATCACAGTAAATGCATGATAATTACTACAACACAATTCTCATCAATTCTCATGTAAATGTGATATTAATACAACAGGACAGATTTGATGTAGTACTTGGATTGAATACAATAACATTTCCGTCTTCCTCCCCCATCATCCTTTCTTTCTTTTTTAATATTTGAGATAATATATTTCTAATTTATATTATAGACAAGGGCTTAACTACCCACTAAGCATTTCAATGAGTAAAAAGTATATTATGAGACCATAGTTCAGAGAGAATCTGATATAAGGGATATAAACAATATCATTTTATTATATGCATGTTTCACACTGAACCTATAGTACTAGATTTTATGCTTTCTAGGTCCTATCAATATGAAACCATCATTACAATCTGTCTGCATAAGGTCCTGTAGACTCATAAGATAATCTAGGCATTGGCAAACTAAACTGTGATACAAAACTAAAGAGATGGCATATTCCTGAAACCTTATAGCAAAGGTGTACTACCATTTACACGCAAACAACAATAATTATTTTTCAGTTTATTATTATTCTTCAGCTTAACATTTTATTTAATATTTTCACATAGCATTTTTTGACCCCTCTGAGTATTATGGTGGCCATTGAGTTGTTTCACTTAGAAAGGACTTGCTGCTAAGCTGCCCAAAGGATGGGTAGCTGAAAGTCTCCTCCTGCTAGCATTGTCAGCATCCATTTTCACTCTTGGGTTAAGGTTACACGCCTCTCTTCTCAAGGTAGCTCCAAGAAAGGATATAGCAAAATGCTGAGCAGCAAACTAGTTTAGTCATTTTTCGAGTGTGAAACATCTCTAATGGGCAATATCTCCCTGGGGGTCCCCCATTGTTTTGGCAAGATTTGCCTTGCCCAGTCCTGCTTCCTAATTCCTTTAAAATTTGACACAGCCCAATAAACCCGTGGACTCCTAACTCTATCTCAGCCTCTGTTAATAATCTAACCTGCAACACAAAGCTTATAGTAGTTTCTTGCCTGCATCTATAAACTGTCTATCCTCTGACCTGGAGACTAAAAGTGCTTTTTTTGGGATTTATTTATTTATTTGAAAGCCAGAGTTGAAAGAGAGAGAGAAAGAGAGAGAGAGCAAGCGAGCTTGATCTTCCACCTGATGGTTCAATCCCCCAATGTTTGCAATGGCTAGGGATGGGCCAGCCTGAAGCCAGGAGCCATGAATTTCTTCCAGGTCTCCCACGTGGGTGCAAGGTCACAAGAACTTGGGCCACCCGCCTCTGCTTTCCTAGACACATGAACGGGGAGCTGGATGGGAAGTGGAGCAGCCAGTACATGAACTGGTGCCCACATGGGATGCCAGTGTCGCAGGTAGAAGTTTAACCTGCTATACCACAATGCACCCCCCATTTTTTTTTACATAGAAGTCATCCTGTCTTTTAAATTTTTGACGGTGAGATGGTGTGATTTTTTTCAGAGATATGATACTGATTCAGAAATATTTTTTGGGAGAAGTGTTAGCTAGAGTGTCTTTTCCTTTGCTTTTTCTACCTAACAATTGTGCCCAAATGGATTATGACACACCTCCCCAGAGATGTTGCTGGGTTCTGAGCCTGCACCAAATCTACATTTGGGAACTTGGGAAGGGATAACAGGGTTTTATTTGCTTGCTTTAAGTGTCCCCTTGTTCTGCTCTCTGAACTGTCTGCTGCTTCTGAGTTATTCTTTGAATCATGTTTTTGTTCCATTTTTTTTGCTTTAATATTACAGGAGTCTCTCAATGCTTCACAATAGTTAGTATTCTGTTACTATTTATGATTGTAATAC